CCACCACCTTCCCCATCACCTCCATCACCATCGCCATCACCACCACCGCCACCACCTCCACCAACAGCATCGCCGCCATATTGTGTGCGGCCCCCACCACCACCGCCACCAAATTCACCACCACCACCGGCTCCATTGAGCTCTCCACCTCCACCCTCTCCTTACCTTTACAATTCACCTCCACCCCCACCTCCACATTCACCACCACCACCTCCACATTCACCACCACCACCAATTTATCCGTATCCATCACCTCCACCTCCCGTCCATTCCCCACCTCCCCCAGTGTACCAGTCCCCTCCCCCACCACCACTTTGTATAGAGCCACCCCCTCCACCTTCCCCACCACCACCATGTATTGAGAACTCACCACCACCACCAAATTCACCACCACCACCGTCGCCACCGGTTCACTACCATTCCCCACCACCACCATGTATTGAGAACTCACCACCACCACCACCGTCGCCACCGGTTCACTACCATTCCCCACCACCACCGGTTCACTACAGTTCACCAACACCGCCAATTGTTTATGAAAGCCCACCGCCTCCCACTCCTGTATATGAGGGCCCATTGCCACCCATCTTTGGAGTTTCATACGCGTCTCCTCCGCCACCACCCTTCTATTGATGATTCTTTTGAGAATTTTCCTCCTCTAACCTTTCCTGGAGCGTCACATCACACAAAACTACCCAGAGTCAGTATTGGCAGTCACGGCTTCTCTTCCCTCCCCACACAAACTCTTCTTTCTCTTTTGGGCAATTCTCGTCGCTCGTGGAGGAAGAACCAAAAAAAGGAAAAAGAATGAAATTTGGGATTGTATGCAATTCTTGAAGTTAATCACCATTTCGGCAACGGCAAACAAATGTCTCAAGAAGCAGAGAAGAGGTGAAAGCATAGATGTAATATCATCAGTATAGAGTGAGAGAGAGGTAAGAGGAGAAAGTCTCTCCCATATTTATTTGAAATTGTTATGGATATTTGAGTTGTGAAAATAAAAATGGCAGAGAAACATTAGGTTGCAGAGAATGTGTATGTATAGGGATGCATTTCAGGCTACAAACACAGCAGCAGCACCTTCCTTCTGCTTCTGCTGCTGCTGCTGCTATTGCTGCTGGGTTTGTGGTGGGTTTTATTGTTATTGTCTCTTTTATATCATAATCATACTTTTGTTTCTTCTCAATTTCCAAATTTTATAGTATAATCACGAACATTTTACATGTATTAATTCTCAGAGTTTACATGTTTCCACTTCCCTTCCAATTTGTTTCTGTTGTGGTATGGAGATTGAACGAAAGCTGCCTGTGTCGTTTGCTCAATCCATTTGTTCAATCTTCACTCAGTCTCCAAAAAAAGGCTTGTTGGGTTGTTGTTGAATGAATAATATTGATGTCTGTATCAATCAATCAATCAATCATTCATTAAGCAAACGCAAGACTTTGTTGTTTGTGTCAATGAGATTCTGGGAAATGGAATTGGATTGATGAGGAATTCATGTGGTGATTGCATGCAGCATTTGATGTGTATGAATCATAAAGCAAATGCAAGACTTTGTTGTTGTTTGTTGTTTGTTGTTTGTGTCATTGAGATTCTAGGAAATGGAATTTGGATTGATGAGGAATCCATGTACATTGCAGCATTGGTGTTTATCAATGACACAGCACAGAGTCAGAGAGACACCAGGCTAGAATTTTGTGGCCAGCATATTATATACATATATATATATATATATGATAATTCAGGGATTAAGTTAAGGGCAATGGCTTTATCATTTTGTTGATTTTGCCAAGGTGATAGGTAGGTCATAGAAGGTCCTTAATTTTCGATCGAGAGTGCAGGTCCCAATTAGCAAATTGAGATGATGGTAGGACCTAAGTCTCGTAGATTGGGTGGTGCTGCATTCAATTCATGATCTGAGTTTTTCTTCATTAGATTAAACTAACATTGTTGGGGGCTGATATCATCATGATTCATGTGCATCTCCTAAATTCTAATATCAAATCAAATGCGGGATTTGAAATTTCGAATTCAAAAAAACTGGTTACTTCATGCTCACACTTCTTCCCCATTGGAATTTGAAATCCTCTTTCCTACTTTGCTCATGAAAAAGCTTCAAACGAGCCTTCTTTTTACTCCTTCCCATTCATCATCATGAATGTATGGTGTTTGTCGTTGACTGTTGTCATTACACTTTTACTCGTTTCTCGTTATAATTCTTTATCTCTTTCTCCCTTTTCCAATTAACAAATCTCAGCAGCAGATGTTCCATTTGAAATAAAAAATTGAGTTGGAGCCGACTTCTTGTTGTAGCTTATTTGTAATTACCCTCCGAAGGTCTTTTTTCTTGCATACCTGGTTACATACCTGGTTACGTCAGTTCCTCAAGACAATGAGTCCGCTCCCTTTTGCTAAGTTCTAGCTCCCATCCCTCTAGTGACTATAAATTAGGCAGTGTGCAAGTGGAAGTGGAACCATCCATCTTTAAAAAGTTCTGATATGGGGCACTAAGGCAGATTCAGCATTACACCAATGCTGTATTGCCACCATCCACGTAAAGCATCACCACATACACATAAATTGGTACTTGATTGCGATGATGACCCATGCATATTGCCAACTTTCATGTGCTGCTGTAGATTCACAATTGGCCAGTCTTTCATTGCTGCACTCAAACTTGGAACCCCATGCCGTGCAGAGTGCAGACCAAAATCAAGTGAGGCTCATAATTCTATTCTACACCCTGTCAAGTACCACCCACCCCCTCAATTTTAGCAATTGGCTCTCCTCTGTCTATATATACAAGATCCTGCCATTGTTTCATGAAAATGACAACCCAAAACCACAGAGAATCGTCAAGTCTCCTATATCATGTGGTGTGTTGGGAAATTGGAGTGCGAATCACAACTCAAGCTCAAATTTCTTGTGGGATTTTTCCCATATTCATTCATGTTATGGAAATTTGGAAAAGTAGCAATCTTTTTAACACATAAAGGATGATTTTTTTTTTTCCCGAACAATGCTTGTAATTCAAAATTTTGCAAGCAACTTATAGCTCAAGTAGTTAATAATAGTTATTCTTGCACTTGAGATTCGGTGTTCGAATCCCCTTCCCCACTACCGCTTGTATTAAAAATAAGTACAAAACTTTGGCCGCTTAACATTTTTAGATCCATTCTATTGTACTGGAAGTAAAGCCAAGCTAGACTGCATTCACATGTCCCTTTCTAGTTCTCTGTGGAAGGAAAACAAAATGCGTAAAAATTCAATCGAAGGATGGTGATGTTTAATGGAAATGGGGCCTGATTGGATGAAGAGCCACATGGGATGTTAGCGCTTTTTCACATCATATTTGTAACGCAAAATTTAAAACGCAACAAGTTGGTTGACTTGTTTTCATTACCTGAAATAGGGACTTAACTGCCATTTAATATATATGGCCCTCTCTCTCTCTCTCTCTCTCTCTCCAGCCTGCCTGCCTGCGTGATTAGGTCATCTCAGGACCATATGAAAAACAAAAATACTTGCATAAGCAGAGGAAAAATAAAAAGTCGAAGAGAAACATGGATGCCATTTCCATATCCCATATGTATAAAAAAAATATTGCTTCTTTGTTTTGTTCTTTGCCCTCTAATAAAAAAAGTCATTACTTTTCGAAAGAGTATTTGGCAAACTATTGAAGATGGCCGGCAAATTCTATCTAATTCATGATTCTCCATCTACTTAATTAATTAATTAATTAATGGGCATAGTTGATTAGTTCCCTGTCACAAAAGTCTCTCGCCTAGAAAAGTCGAGGAATCATTTATCATCTACTTAATTTTAGCAGAGCTACCTTATTAATGCAGCTTGGTGTACAAGTGTTGACTCAATAATTGAAATGTTGCACCTATCGAAAGAAAATTTGAAAGCCAACAAGGTCTAGTCCAGTGAAAAAGGGTCTTGATTTACAGACCAATAATCTCATATTCAAATCCCCATTCCCATGGCACCTTGGTTGGTGGTGTGTGTGAGAAATCTCCTCAGCTTCGTAGTTTAGACTATCGCTTGTTTTAGAAAAATAAATAAATTTGAAATTGAAATGTTGCAGGTTAAAAGACCAAGGACAGCTAGCCCAAAACCAAAAATAAGTCTGAAGTCTGAAATTGGTTTTGCCATTAGTTATGGAAACAGGCCTGAGTGAACCAAGGACCCCAACAACTTATATTACATCTGCAGTTGACCATTTTGGGCCTTAAAAAGATTTGGAGTTTGACCTAAGCTTCTACATATACAAATAAGAGACCATTAACTTTACCAAACAATCTTTAAGCCAAAGCCCATAACTAGAAAAAGGCCTGCCCTTCAAAATCTCCTACCAAAGTTCCCTTCCATTATATTTTCACTTACTTTTTCTTGTCTTCGCTTGTGGCTTTTTGGCAGTGTCAATCTCTTCACTCCTTTCGGCCCTTTCTGTGTCACATCACATCTCATCTGCAAACATTTGACAAAACCAGGCCAGTTGGAACCCAAAAAGCAAGAGAAAACGAAAACCAAGTTGTTTTTTTAGTATTATATTTCCTATTGAGATGAATAATATACTAAATTCACTCACATTATACCGAATGTTAGAACTCGAATTTAAGACCCAAAAGCAGTGGTAGACCTATGAAGGCATAAGGAGATGCACTACACCTTCCCTCGTTGGAAAAGCCATCATAGGTGCTGCATATTGCACTTCTCCTCAGCCTTGGAGTTGCACAGCAAGTGTTCAACGAAAAGCCTAAGGGAAGTCTTGTTGCGTGCTACCCTATCTTCCTTTTTTTTTAAATATTTATAAATCCTGGGATTTAAAAAAAAGAAAAGGAATCCTGCCATTGCTTGGGCTTTAATTGAGCGCGCATAATTCCTTATTTAAATAGAATTAGGAGTTCTTTTTATTTAATTAAATTTTAATAGGGCTTGCACAATTCCTGATTTAAGTGGGATTGGAAGTTTTCTTTATAAAGGACCAATTTAACATCATCCAATTTTATCAAGTGTGTGCATCACAAGAATTCTGAGGTTTGTTTTTTTTTTCCCTTCTTGAGTACGTCAATCCAAAGTAAGTCGGTTGCAAATTTTTTTTATTCTTGAGCAAACGCCAATTTTTTTTTCTTGTTTTAATAATTTTTTTATATTTTTATTTAGCTCTCTCTGTATTGCATCTCCGCTAAAAAGTTCATGAGTTCGCCAATGCCTAAGAGATCAATTGCTCCAATCCACATCACTACACTAGTGAGTTCTTTGCCAAAGATTTTTTTTTTTTACACAGCTTAATAGTTGATTTAATTATGATGACCTATGGATGCGTAATTATGAGCAAAGGACCGGTGTGAGTTGATACCATTAAGTAACAACATAAAGTATAAATCTTGATTTAACAGAAGATCGCTCCTTGATTGACGGCGATGGCCTAAAACAACAGCCTTTGAAAATTACCCATCTTGGGTGAAAAAAGTGAAAGTATTATTTAAATATTTCATTTGTTAAAATTTGTGATGGTGGCTCAAGTTACGAGCACGTGCATGCACGGATCCAAACATAAATAAAAGATAACGTAGCAGTCTCAGAAACTTCATACAAGATTCCTTCTTTCATTTGTCTCTTCTTCTTTTTTTTTTTCCTTTTTTTTTTAAAATTTCTTAATTTGTTAAATAATGCATTTATTCTTTTTATTTATTAATTATATGGAGCTCCGCCGAATCGAAAAGTGAATGTTCAGGTTCATCTAAGTATATTCCGTTAGATATTATCGTCGTCCGTCTGGTTTGCAACGATTATTTTGTTAATTAAAAACAATCTTATAATTTTTACTTAATTAAAAAACAAATCTCATCTGATTGTAATTAATTAAAACAATCAACATATTATTATTATTATTATTATTATTAATTTTGATTTGGAGAATTTATAAATAAATATTAAACTGTTGTTGGCACGTCGTTATTCCAAATACTTATTCATGAGTTTACGGAAAAGATGAAAAGAACATACGGTTTGTATTTTTTTGGGAAAAACAGAGGGTATGATCATGATTCATGGCCACCATTATAACTAAAACATAATTATGTTAGGCATGTACCAAATCTGTTTGGCGTGGACTAAACCTAATCAGGATTAATGAGTGCATTAATTACCCATCATTTTAATCTTTTCTGCGGCAAACAGAAATAAAGAAGAGGTGAAAAGTAGTTTGGATGAGTGTTTGTTTTTGTCTTAATGCGTAACGCAATTGTTTTTATACCTTGAAAGATACGATACGACTGAGAAGCGGAGTAGACAGTAAAAGCTTTACGGCGGGAAAAAGAAAGAAAGGAAGGAAACAAGGCAAAGCAAAACCTACTCAAAGCCAAAGCAATCAGTATATATATCTCTCTCTATCCCTTTCGCTTTCTCTGTATCTATTTAGTAATTTCCCTTCTCTCTCTCTCTCTCTGTGTTTTGTCGTAGAGACTTTGAAACACACAGAAAACAGAGAGAGAGTCTCAGAGGTCCTGCTTTGTTCTGTCGTACGTCCATTTGCGCATTGCCACTTTGCCACCTTCGTCTCCCACTCTTTCTTTCTCAGGTACTTTCTCTCATTCATTCAAAAACAAACCTTCAATTTCTGTAATTTCTGTCTTATTTTCTCGACGGCCTTTTTGTTTTGATTTCCGTAAGTTGTTCTAGCTAGTCAAAGACTGAATCTTCTCTTGTTGTGTGTGTGTGTGTGATTGATTTGTACCTGGGTGTTTGCTCAAATTTGATTCTTTGATTACATTTTCAGTTTCTTTTCGTCTGTTCATTGTGTACTGCAAATCCCAAGAGAAGCTTTTTATTTAGCATAGTTCCGATGATCACTAGGGTACCGTAGGCGAAAATGCTTGATCTTGTCTCTGTATTTTTCTCAACGACCAAGCAAAGAGTAAAGTCAATTGTTTTCATATATTATTTTCTGGGACTAGTCCCCTTTGCCTTCTCCTGGGTTGTCTTCCTTTTTGTTGTGCTCTTTGGACACAGCCTAAAGCAAAATATTTATATTAGCTCTTTATCTTTTTAGGACCTAGATTTATTTGGGTATAACAACAACAAAAAAAAGAAAAAGAAAAAGAAAAAGAAAAGACTGAGCTAGCATAGCGTTTGAGGGTATAATCGTCCTAGAGTAAGTTCTGGAGTTCATTGTGGAAGGGAAGATATTCAAGCACAGAGAACACTTGAACTGGAAGAAATGGTCTTTTAGTTAATAATATAAAACAATACATTAATAAACAAAAAGGCAAAGAAACCAAAACGAAAAAAAATTCTGATAGCTTGGACTAACACGTCACCTACCCCCAGGAGTGGAGCAACAAATCAACGAAATGAAAGATTCTTTCTTTGTTTCTGCTTCATCAAAAAGTCTGAACTTGTGGGGTCCAATCATAAAGCTCTCTCTCTCTCTCTCTCTCTCTAAACAAGTCGTCTAAAACTAAAAGCCTCAAGCAGAGAGCCATTTGGCGTGTGTGCTTGCTTCTATTCTATGCTTCTGCATTGGTTTGATTTGAACTGTTGTGCAAAGAATCAGGCTCCATTATCAATCAACTAGGAGAATAATATGCTCTTCAGCTCTCTCTCTCATCAACTATACAATTCTTGTCGTACAATACACGTTTGTGTTGTTATGCTCCTTTTGGGCAGCAACTCAACTGGAAAAGGGATCACAGTTAAATATTTTGTGATCACTTTCTTTGAGACGTTGAGAATGTTTTCATTCCAAAAAGCAAAACTGAACAAACCAACCACCTCAAGCATAATGTTTATCAATAAAAGGGTTTGAGTGTTTACAAACTTTGTGCACAAGCTGCTTCTTTTGGGCAGGAATTTGTGCACAGCACAAGTATTGTGATGATATAGTGTTTTACTTATATATAGAATAGAAAGATGGGGTGGGAAAAGGTATGTGTTTTACATTTTTGGGCTGGACAGAATCTGTGATGACTCACAATCACAACCCAAGTTGCTAATACTTGCTGAGATTTGAGCCCAACATTTCAATGGTCAGTTTTGACGCTTAGGTAACTGTATCTGCTCCTATGATGCATGTGACCCTTTTTTTTGGGGTGGTATTTTTCAACTGTGCAGGGGAAGACAGAAACTGAGAGTGACAGAGAGAAAAACCCAACTGGTTGTTTTGCTAAACTGATGATTTATGTGAAGAACAAGAGAGCCTGAATGGAGTAGAAATGGAGAGCGGTTATGCAAAACTCCAGTTTAAGTCATGGCTCAGCCAATTCCGCAATGGCTCCAATCCTTGGATGGCCAGATATGTCTACGGCTTTATGTTCTTAATAGCAAATCTTCTGGCATGGGCCGTCCGGGATTATGGACGCAACGTGTTGACGGAGATGGAAAGTAAGAATTGCTCTTCTCTGCTCCTTTCCTTCATTTCATGCTCTACATTTTTATTAACACCTCTTGGCTGCTGCTGTGAGTGTGAGTTCAGGATTAAAAGGATGCCATGGTGTGAAAGATTGTTTGGGTGCACAAGGGGTTCTGCGTGTCAGCTTGGCATGCTTTGTATCCTTCTCTGCTATGCTTTCTTGAAATTTCCTGCCAAAAAGTATCAGTCTTTGAAGGGTTTCAATATAAATGCCAAACTTGCTATATCACTCTTCTTGACCTTTTGTGTAACTGTTCGTTAATTTTTACTGTTTTGTCTCCGAATGGATTAAAGTAAACTAGGCCTTAACACTTGATCAGATGTTTTATTTCACAATGTTTCTTTCGACGGCTGGTGCATCAAAGTTGAAGGAGCCTAGAGATTCATGGCAATCTGGATGGTGGTCTGCCAAGATTGTCCTCTGGGTTACTTTCATTATTATTCCCTTTTTGCTTCCTGCTGCAATCATTCAGCTCTATGGTTAGTATAATCCCATTTCCCAAAAACCTCAAACTGTTTTTTCTTTCTTCATTTTAATTTCATTTCGAAAATATCCAATTTCTTGTCACTAATACAAATCTTTTGGCAGGGGAGATTGCGCATTTTGGTGCCGGGTATCATTATATCCTTTTATTAATTTTAATTCCTGTCTTTAACATGTAAATTTTTTCTTTTGAAATGTGTTTCCTGAAGTTGGAGACAAACTAAAAATCTTAGTCTTGTTTTAACAAGTTTTAGTATTGTATTGTTTATCAGGGTATTTCTCCTGATTCAGCTAATAAGCATAATAAGTTTCATTACATGGCTGAACGATTGCTGTCAGTCTTCCAAATCAGAAAGATGGTAAGACTTTGTTTAAACTAACTCAGGTCTCTGCTTGTTTGGGTATTGAAAACAAATTCCATGTAGCTACTAGCCATATTCATTACTTGGATTTTGCAGCTAATTTAAATTTAGGTTTTCACTGCAGCCAAATTCATATCATGCTACTTGCAACTACCGCATATGTTTTATGCTTAACGGGGATCATATTGATGTACATATGGTATGCACCAGAACCATCTTGCCTCCTCAACATTTTCTTCATTACCTGGACATTAGTACTTCTACAACTCATGACCAGTGTCTCTCTCCACCCGAAAGTAAGTTCTGGTTATGACCTTGCCTTCTACTTCATTCTTGTTCTAATCTGGTTTGCTTGCTAACTTCCACCTGAAATAGGTGAATGCTGGCATTTTGACTCCAGGGCTCATGGGGCTCTATATAGTATTCATCTGCTGGTTTGCCATTAGAAGGTAGGGTTTTTAATCTCTTCTCCGGCTGCACTTAAATTCTTGTTGGATGATATGCCATGCTTCCTTCACTTTTTTGAGCCTCCAATCAAGAGATGTGTATTGACTTCGAATGAAGTCTATACCTGCCTATGAGTTTGGTTGATATATTTCTTTCAAAGAATATCTATCATCAAAATTTGTTTGCTTTAACTCGCAGTGAGCCAACAGGGGAAAGTTGCAACAGGAAGGCAGAAGCTTCAAACAAAACAGATTGGCTCACCATCATAGTAATACTCTACTTAATGATGTTCATATAAATTCTAAATGCATATTAAATCTGCTACTTCTATGTCTCACCCCTTACTGATATTATCTTGAATCTAAACAAAGAAGACAATGAATTATAAACACTAACATGTATGTAGTCTTCATTAATAGCACCACATAAGGTTTAGAACTTCTGTTATATGTATTGGAATGACCAACAACAGGTCCTGCAGAAACTTTTGAGTTTACACAGCTTGCATTGCAAACTTTCATCTCTTTCTTGTCTCCCACACCAAAATGTGACAATGACTCATTTGTTGACAGAGCTTTGTCATTGCCGTACTTGCGATGGTTATTGCAACATTCTCAACGGGGATAGATTCTAAATGCTTTCAGGTTTGCTCGACTGCCTGAATAACCTCTAATTGGTCATTTATAGCTCCCTTAAAATGCACCTGACAGTATCTGCAGTTCAGGAAGGACGAGACAGAATCCGAGGATGATGTTCCATATGGTTATGGCTTCTTCCATTTCGTTTTTGCCACAGGAGCAATGTACTTTGCAATGCTGTTGATTGGTTGGAATACTCATCAATCCATGAAAAAGTATTTTCTCCTGTCTTGTGACTTCGCTATTAATTTACATCTTCGTGAATAAATTGAACACCCTTCTTCTTTCTTGGCTCCTCAATAAGTTGCTCCCCTTCTGCAGGTTTACAATTGATGTGGGATGGGCCAGCACATGGGTGAGGATTGTGAACGAGTGGATCGCTGTCTGCGTGTATTGTGAGTATAAGATTCTGCATTTGAGTTTTGGATGTCATGTGGAAATTGTTGTTTCTGAGAGGAACTTTCTGTTTTGCAGTATGGATGCTGGTTGCTCCAATCATATGGAAGAGCAGACAAACGGCGGAATCTGCATAAGTTAAAACAAATTTGTTTCACGTCTGCCTCATTCATCAACCGTTGTACATGTGGGAATGTCTAAGCCTTGGCAAAGAGAGGATCGAAAGTTAGAAACTATTTGCATACTCAAGAAGAGCCTCAGGTCATGGACAGCTCCACCTTCCTCTAATCTAAGGGCCTAGTAAAAAGTTAAGGAGGTATAAAAAAAGAGCATACAAGTTACCCAGATACCTAGTGTTGTGAATTCATAACACTCGTGCATATAGTGTGAGAAAATCCATTCCCTGTATGGTAGAAGAATGTAGCATCTTGTTAAATGTTACAATACTGAAAAGCAAATGTCTTTTAAGTGAAGGGTTTTAGATGATACTGAGCTTCTTGTTTTCCTTTTGAGGTCCATGGTTTGGTGCATGGTTGTATCATTTTGTTTCCATTCTTCGAACATTTGATTAGACGATATTTTTTAAATTTTTTTTATGACAACTTTAATACAACAAATGTAATAAACTGATCAAATTATCTCACAACTAGAACAAACTGTTGGAAATATGAGTGCTAAATTGCTATAAAATAAACAAAATAAATACTGTACATAAATCAGATTTTTACGAAAGGAGAATTGAATTAGAAGAACCTTAATTTTCTATGCACTTCCCGTGATGAGTATAAGATCATTTTGAAAGTTTGTTTACAGATATTTGTCTGCATGCATGTTTTTTTTTTAAATGAAGAAATCATGCATGCATGTATGTTTTATTACTATTGCAATTTGCAAACAAGAAGGAAACGGCATGAAAACCGTTGTTCTTGTGTAGAGAAGAGAGATGTTTATGTTTACATAATTGTATATATGAACCTTTGGGTTAATATTCAGATATGCAATTGGCATATTAGATTCCATATAGAAAGATTGCATAAATTTGGTTTTGCAAATTTTTCTGAAGAAGGGAAAGCAAGTCAGTGTGTTGTCTAAATTTGACAAACACAATTGAAAAATACTTCCGAGTTAAGTGTTGAGAATTGAGATGACCGGAACGTGGTGTATTTCTATCTTGGTAAGACTACAACTGAAATGTGGGGGCTAAGGCCTATTTTAAAGAATTGTTTCTAATTGTGAAGCTTCAAACTATAATGGATTGAATGAAGGAATCCATCACAATTTCCATTAAATGGAACTCATGAGAATCGAAATTGTGGGGACTATTGCAAAATTGCACTAGACGTAATTTGCAAAGTTCTTAATGTATGAAAATTCATTGGTAGTTTAATAGCAACCACAATTTTGAGAGAATTGTGGGGGTGGCTTAACTATCTTTGTAATCTCATATTTGTGTAATAATGGAAAAGTAATTTGCTCTTTAAAAGAGACAAGTAACGTTTATTTTAAGGTATAAAAAGGTTGAAGACCCTACAAATACCTTAAATGTGGGGAAAGTCTACCGAAAAGTTGGCAAAGCAAATTACTTAGTAAGTCCCAACAAAAACAGACATGAAGGAAAATTTGGAATTCTATTTCCTAACAGAGAAAATGGAAGTTTTCTAGCACCACGTTTTTTGTGGAGAGAGGCTTTGGTGTTCATAAGAGTTTAAATTTCTCTTATACAAGGTATGAGAAGGCTAGAGACCTTCCTATAAGTACCACAAATATGGGGGTGTCTAGCTGAGTATTAGAAGGTTACTCAGTTGGCACAAACAAAATAAATTAAACGCTCAACTACTCTTGAATGAAATTTATTTCCATATATGAAATTATGATGGCAATATATTACAAAAATAGTCAACCTAATGGATCCAATGTTTAAAGGTCAGACTAGAGAGTTAGTTGATCATCGAGGGGAATGGGAGTATAAGCCTAAATATTTAAAGTTTCCATAGTGGATACCCAACCTAGCTGATTGGAGATCCCAAGATCTATGTTCAAAAGGGACAACCAGATTATGGATGACTAAGTAGTAGCACTGCTGAGATTACATCTCCTACCCATGTTCTATGATGAAACAGTGCTGCATGTAGCGTGTTTTAGGGTAATCTTTGATTTTAATGATTCCTATAGCTTGGAAATCCTAGTAGGGTAGTGCATGATACTCTTAATAGGAAGTCACCTATGTGAGTGTGAAATGAGGCCGTTTCTATGAGAATTTTTTAAGGCTTGAATTCTCTAAAGCTCTCATGAATACCAGGAATTGCTCAGGGCCAAAACGAGCACAACCGATCGAACCAGATATGTTTAGAAGGGTGTTGTGTGAGTGCTATTGTCTGGGTTTACACAAACGGCTGAACAGTTCAAGAAATCACGTTCACTGATTAGCCAAGTAAATCCAATAGTATTCCACTATGGAAAGTTCAAGGCCAAAAGCTACCTATCCAAATGCAGTATTCTTCTAATAGGGACTCTATCTAGTGTCTTCATTTTTTGTTTGCATGTTGTTGAGTCAATTTCCATTCATGTGGGGGATTGTTGGAAATTTAATATTAACTAAAATTAATTTTCCTATTTGAATGGAAATTAATAAAATTCATTGGGTTAAAGACATAACCCTTGGGTTAAAGACATCTTCAATTGGGGGGTGACAACTCTTCAAACCAAGGGATGCATTGTTTGGGATGACAATTTTTCAAACCAATGGATGCATTGTTTGCCTTTTCAGATTGGGATACCTTTTTTGGTACCTTTTTTGGAAAGGGTATTTCATAATCTATAAATAGAACAATCCTCCTGCAATTTTATTCATTTAATTTAATTCTCTACATACAGACTTTCATATATAGAGAGCATTAGAGTTTTCATAAAGAGCAGTTCCTGCATAATTTAGTTCAAAGTTCTTTGTGAATTGCAGTGCTTCTTTCACAAGGAGGGGAGTCGTATTCTGGGAGGCAAACGCTAGTGAACCATAAACACCAATGTGGGGCGTAATTCGTCTTAAGGTCAAAGTGTCCGACACTTGCCTCGACTCAATTAAGGTTATTCTAATTCAATTCTCCTTTTGTAAAAATCTTATTTATGTCCAGTATTTATTTTATTTATTTTATAGCAATTTAGCACTCATATTTCCAACACAAACTAATTAATACGACGATTATAACATAAGACATGCCCCGATGGTTCGGAGTAGGATCCAGATCCGACCCGCTCGAGAATCTTGTAGTTTGTGATTTCGAGTCCATGTCAGTAGAATGTAGAGGAAGAGAAGAAGAAAGGCGCTCCTGAAGAGGAGGTTAGGTTGGCTTTGAACACTCGAGAAGCTTTTCACACTCGGAAACGTTAACATGAAGGCTGTATTATTCGGTTTGCTTCGAGTGACTGAAAGCAAAGCACAAATAAAAAGCCAAAACCCAATAATGCCCTTACCTAGTAGGGTAAAAACGAGAGTGTTTATTTAGCCTTATTCACGAATCTATCGACCTGGTTTGTCTCAATCAAAGCTATTGGCAGATTACCAAAGGGTCCTTTCGCAATTCAAGACATATTTAGCTTGAGGCTGCAACATTATTGGAAATTAGGCACTAAGGCAAAGACCGTAAAATCATACGTATCACAGAAAATCATCTGATCGTATTAACATACAAACTGCATTTCACTGTAAAACCATTGTTACTGTTTCATCAACTTCCATAAACTCAACGAGCTCACAACACAAATGAAGAGATTGCAAAATCATACAACATACCAGGAGAAAAAAAAATGGAAACAAAAAAAGAACTACAAGGGGCAGCTAAAACAAAAAAATAATTAAACTCGTAGATCACCCAATAGAATGGCTTGGCTGGGCGAAAAATAGATACCTAGGGTCCCCATTGAAGCAGGCAACTCTACCACTTTATCCCCCTTTCAACTATATACTCTTTTTCTCACTTTCTTACAACAGCAAACAAATTGTACACGACTGACGTTGACCTTCTGACTCTTGACCCAGGGGATGATGATCCAAATAACTCTTTAGGCAGCATCAGATAACTTAAAATCTACCAAGATAGAAACCAATACTTTCCACCCGGCAATTCGACGGGCAGCAGCAGCAACAAGATGATGCTTACCCTAAATGGGATTAGAGACACCTTGTTCTTTGCATCTACCCAAATGGATTTCCTCCAGCCGACGAGTAAGGATTTGGGGTAGCAGGAGCTGAGAATCTACCTATCTGCTGTTGATCTGTATTTAATGAAGCAAAAGCAGAACCCACGCTGCCAAAGCCCACTGCTCCTTGATACCTACAAGCATAACGATTATGTAAGGGAAACCACTATCAACAGATCACTTCATCTAAATGCATAAATTACTCTGTACACATGCATAATTTTTTTGTTTGGGGTAAAGGACAGAACACATGCAGAACTTATTTATCAGAAATGCAAGAATATTTGAAGTTCCAATCAATGTTGTAACACCCGCATTGGTGAAACCATGGGGGACAGCCAGTAAAAAGGAAAACAAAAAATGATCAGTTACAAAACTCCAGGATGAGGATTGAACTTGGAACCTGCCCTCTGAAAGAGAAGTGTAGCTACCTAGCTATAACCACATCATGTGACAGCCAGTAAAATTAACCCCAATTCTATCAAACAATATAGAAGAACCTTAAGGAAATTAACTGGAGGGCTTTACTTGTCATGACACTAGCCAATAGCCCCTAACTTACCTCCAATCTAGGGTAATATCGGGTACAAAAGAAAAACCGAAGAAAAAATAAGAATATTCAGAGAATTTACTCGCGTTTAATGTTATTGAATATATAGTAAGAAAATATTTAAAAGAAAAAACCCAAAATTTATGGTTACCCGGAAGGTGGCATGCTACTCGGAACTTGTTGCACCATGTAGGCTCCTGAGATTATCAAACCACAATTCAGCACTCATTGCCAACAAAAGGGAGAATGAGAAAGTATTTTTCATTATTTACTAGAAGAAAAAAAAGGAAAGCAGCATCATCTTACTTGGAGGCATTCGTGATGCATATTGTGGTGCTTGGGGAGGCACTGCTGAAGAATATGATGATAACTGGGGAGGCACTTGTGATGCATATTGTGGTGCTTGGGGAGGCACCACTGACGAATATGATGACGACTGGAGCGGCATCCAAGCTGATGAGGGAGTATTGAGGCTGGAAGTGCGCACTAAACCTGGTGGGGACAAAGACTGGACATTTGGTAGGGCAGCTTGAAAAGATGCCGCAGAAGGAAACTGCATTACAGATAAAACACATCAAAGAAACTTCAAATATATTTGTGCATCAAATGAGGAGTTATCAAGAACACGTAGAGTTAAGGAAAAAAAAATGCTTTGATACTGATTTCAGCTAACAAAGCAAGTTTTATGGTGAGTTATTGATGTGAGAAAACTAAGTCAAATTTATCAGGCAACCATTGAACCCA